ACCAAACAAATTTTCTTACTTCACATGTCAAATCAAACTTTCAAAACTCAATTTCACACTCAATTCAACACTCTATTCAAAAACTATAACCAAACAAATTTTCTACACTCAAATCATAATTTCACAACTCACAAACTCAAAATACAACGTATACTCTCAAATCATATTTACAAAACTCTACCAAACGCAACCTTAATATTTAGCAAATAAACATACTATGATTTAAGTTAATAGTAATACTACAAACCCAGAAATTATCTAGAATTATTATCTTGTTATTCATATTTATTCTACATATGAACCCCACACTACACAAATTTAATCTCCACTACACAAACACCCATCCAAAAAAATCTAGATTCCCAGACTTATTGTCAAATCCAATAGTTATTGGAATTGATCCTTTAGGTTCAGATAGATCATTATCTTATTATTTTATTTTATTTTTTGTCAATCGATCCTTCTTTTTATCCTTTTCCTTTGTGCTCATGAATGACCAAATAATTGAATCTCTTATTACGGTGACAATCCAATTTCAGTTTTTGGTCTGGTCTGGTTTTGCCATTCTTTTTTTATCATTAATTTTATTAAAGTTAATTTGACTAAATTTTACTTTTATGAGTACTACACCATGTATAAGATGATTTCTAATTATAATAATTCCCTAATTTTGTTCATCCAATTTCACTCTTAATGATGTAGAATTAGAGATACTAAATATAAGAGAGAGAAGGGTGTGGAATCGCTTCACATGGGGGGTGGGCCATGTCATTCAAGGTGGATAGGAGGGCAAAATTAGGGAGATGTATACCACTCATCCAATTATTTCATATTTTAGTCAATACCATCAATTTTATTAAGTATTTTATTAATACAAGACGTACATGTCATTTTTTTTAATTTGAAAAAATAAATATTATGTATTATTTTTTTTTTGAAAAATTCAAAAATATTTAGTAGATTAATTTATTATTCCCGTAAAATAATTTTTTCACAATTTTTATAAAAGAAATTACATTCAATTATTAATGTACTCAAATTAATTCAGTATTTCTTATACGCATACTTTGATTGTATTAATTCTTGTAAGAGGAGCTAATTAGCCATTTTGCCTTCTTCTTCACCCAATCTCTTATCTCCATCATCTCCTTTGTTGTTGTGTTCCTAAGTTGAGATTATTGAAGAATCTAAGCCTCTCATCATATTCTAGAGAATTCGATCTTCGAATTTTCCAACTCCTTTCTTGAACCCTCTCCTACAATTCTATAACTATTATATAAAAGAATGTAAGGCAGCAAGTGAAATGAATCTAATGTTGTGTAATTATCTAATTTATCCTTATTGTGCTAACACAATTTCATTTGAACCAAACAATCTCCATTACACCGTTTCTTGCATACTATTTGAAGAAAAGTTCAAATAAATACATACATGTGCTAGAAAAAAAAGGTTACAACTCACAATCCATGATGTGGGAGAAGTTGTTTTTTATTGTAATTGTCAAAAAACTTGTAGAATTCATCAATAAAATCATTTAAAAAATTCAATTAATTGGATATTGATAATTATATAATTAAGTATTAATTATGTGGAAAAAAAGAGAGTCTATTATCAAATTTATACTGATTATTTAATTTTAAAAAAATAAATATCATCTGATCATGTGACTATAAATGCTCAATTAATTTAATTTTTTTATTAATGATATACTTAACAAGTCTTACAAGATTAACTATTTACATCACAATTAAACTTCCTAAATAGAGCTCTTATTGACCTTTTATTGTAACAGTTACGTTTCTGTTTCTTGCGTGCTCTATTTGGAAGTGCCTAATGTGTCTTCCCATAGTCCCTCCAAGTGACTGACATGAGACACTACTATTGGCTCAACCAAACAAAAGCCAACATGTGTTTATACCAGATGTAACCATTATTCGGACCATCGTTTCATAGAAGAATAATGGAGGCAACATTTTTGAGAAGTTACAAATCCACTTCTCACTCAATAAAAAGAATTTCGGGTGAGCCTTTGCCTTGCTAAAAAATTTAAGTTGTTTTCTATTTGATTTTATGTATTCTGATTTGAATGGAAAGCTAATGTACTTTGTTTTCTTTCGTTTTTGCAGTGTTTAACTCTTCTTGCTTTTGATAAATCGTGGACATAGTGTGTCAGCCATGTGATAAAATTATTCGAAGAACACATTTACTATTTCCAAACAAGACAAAGTAAGTTTTGTAGAAAGTCTCTAATGTTATGTGTACTTTAATAAATATTTATTCCTTAGCTTTTGTACGAAATAACAATCATTTGTGTGTGCTTTAATAAATATTCATTCCTTAACTTTTCTACGAAATAACATTCATTTATAATAGTAAATGATAATTTTATTTATAACATATGTAGATTTATTTAGGGAGTAGTAATAATAAATTAAACTTGAGAATAGAATGATTATTTTATTTCAATTGTATTTTATTGAACTAAAAACTACTTAGGAGTTGGATCCCACTAGATTTTTATTCCTTAATATAATTTTTTCACTCTTCCTTTATGATAATATTTTCTTATTAGTTTTGTTCACTTGATATTTTTAAACATGTGTTCTATGCGGTTTGTGACAACCTTTTTCACTCATATTATATCTGCACTTAGGAGTAACATTACTGATAACATTATCCAATATTTGATTGCATATTTCATGTTTGATGAAAGTTATATGTTTTTTCTTCATTTTCATACTTGCTTTTTAATTAAAAATAAAAATTGTCCATACACTATGATCTTCCAAAGTACAGATAATTATTATTATTACTTTTGAACATATTAGGATATTCTCTAATTGAATTTTGAAAATTTAAATTATTAGATGATATTTTTTTAAAAAACTGTCCCCATATGACATTTTTAGTCATATTACGTCGTTTACCTATATTTTTAGAAACTAAATTTTTAAAAGAAGATATATAAATAGATGAAATAAGAATACTATAATTGACATAATGTATCATATGAAAATATTAGATTATTTTTTAAGAGGAACAATACCTTTAATAGTTGATATATATATAAACTCGATTAATTGACAGATTCAATACTTTGAGCACCTTGATATGTAGAATAATATCAGCAACTGTATAACTAAGAATGCAACTGTTTATTTTTACATATGAAGCTAACTTAAAAAAGCTAATAACAATGCGACGCCACACGCAACTAGTTTGAAATAAACATGACACATTATTCTCAAGTGCTACATAAGGCTTCTCATATAAGAGCATCTTCAATCATTTTACAGTTTCTTTTATCAAATTTAATTAAAAAAAATACTAAAAGATCATCTCCAATTCTTAAAATTACACATACAATAAAACCATATAAAAACTAAGCTATTTGAGCTTCGCTAAAAAGACAAGCAAACTGAACTTACTTAGTCTTGAACATATCTTTTAAACACGTCAAACTTAAATTACTCACTATTCAACTTCACTAAACTCGTCTACAATATGTAAAACATTTGCAGAATATATGCAATTTGGGTATGTATATTCTGCTAAGAGATGACTGACAAAAGAATTAAACCACATGATAGTTAGGCTTGATTTGGAAAGTGGGTTGACTTTTTGACTTTTTGACTTTTTTGACTATTTTAACCTGGGCTAAAAAGCTTAGTTTGAAAAAGATTTTTTAACTTTTTGACTTTTTTAATTTTTTTTTGTGAAAGAAGAGTAATGATTATAGGTTGGATGTGATGTTTTGTTTATTGTGACTAAAATAACCTATTTTATTTTTTGTAGTTAAAATAGCCAAAAAAACCTCAAATCTTGCTTCCCAAACGGTGCCTTAACTAGTCTTTTGGCCAGCAAATCTCCCTTAAAATAGAGGTCTTAAGTTCCACTCCTAGGAGTAGAATGGAAGGGCAAGTTTTTCTTGCAAGGTGTATAAATTTCAACTCCTCCAAGGTGTAAATTTAACAACCTACATCTGACTTTGTCGATAAAAAATTTATAAATAAATAAATAAACAAAAAACAGAGAAGCACATGGCACATGATGTCAGCCACGTGACTTAAAATTGTGCAGCAGAAAATAACTGCGTTCAAACATAGGCGCTGTTTGGAAAACACAGGTTAAGGTTATTATAGCCTCATTTAGGATATAAGCCAAAAAACGTGAACAGTAAGCGGAAGTGCAAAATTCAAAAAAAATAAAAATAGACTGCAGCTCGGGACAGTGTGGGCACAGCCGACACTGTCAGTTGATAGAATGTAAAATCAATTAGAAAATTACAATTTCACCCATTTATATCAATTTAAAAAATTATAATCTTAGGGACAAATTTGTCAATTTAACTTCAAACATCATTTCACCACATTTTTCAATATGACAACTCAAATAAAAATCCATCTATCTTTCCAAACATAAAAACTAAAATAACCTGCTAAAATAGCTAAAAAGCCAAAAAATTCTAAAATAGCCACTTCCCAAACGAGGCCATAGCCATAGCACATACATCATTTTTGTACGTATCATGATGTTATGATAAATACCACACAGATTGTATGAACACTGAATTTTGGAACAAGATGAAAACCAAACAATTTCAACATGAGGTTGTAAAAAGTGAAACCTGGATTGAAAATCGAACGTGTTTAAACACAAATGACCTAGTTATACACCAATAAAATCTCACTACACAAAGAAAACTCTTTATAATCAACAAACAATTACCCTGTAGGTTAAATAAGTGTGGTGATAATCTGGTTATATGATTATGTTCAAGATCAAATGATTCAAATAAGCTTAGTTTGTTGCTGTCCGACAAAAAAATTGTGAACCATGTCACAAGCAACAGCAATTCCACCAAGGCAACTTGAACATTGAGCAATCAACCATTACAACTAATAAAATGTAATCACTAACACAGTAGCTAGCTATTCCCATCAATATCAAAGGCCGTAGGCCATACTACTAACTTGACCTAAAAAAATGAAGATTGCATAATAATTTTAAAGATCCTACTGCACACTGAGAATATCCTCTATTGATTCTTGACCAAGCAATACAATTTAGCTATATCCTACAACTGTTTTGGAAATTTGGTTTAACTTCCTTCACTTGCAAGGTTTTAAATAGTTCTATTCACTTGCTATATTGTACACTACTATTGTCAGTTGACAATAACTGATCTTGTTACATTCTGGACAATAGTTGCAAGAAAAGCCTCATCCAAGCATACACGACGTGAATTATTCATTTAAAATAATAGTCTTAGGTGTCAACTGAAATTACACCCAAAAATTGGAAAGAGAATTACACACAAAAGGACATTTCTCATGGAGTGCGCACGAGATATTTAAATCACCTCAATATAGCAGCTCCTCAAAAACAGGATCCACTGATCTTCCCCACTTCCCATGGTACAACTCCAAAAGCTTCTCAGCTGGTGTTACACCTGAAAAACGAGGGGAAAAAAAAAATAAAATAAAATAAAAGGACATATCAGATTAAATGGGTAACATTATCACTTATATCCAAAGCAATTGGGATCACTATGAGTTGAGGACTTTGGTGGAGATGCTGGAAGCTCTTGTTGGAAAATTATTCAGGTCTGGTGGAAGACCTTTGATTTGATTGAGGATGATGATTCTAGCAAGTGCTTTAATCTGTTGGAGAGAGGGAGGGGAGTTGGGAGCGGGGTGAGGCTCTCAGAGGCAGAGTTTTGATGGCTTTGTCAGGCAATGGTTGAGGCTTTAAATTAAATAGTCTGATGGGAGGACTTATTGAACAGGGAGGGAAGGAAGTGTAAGAACTCCTAAAGCAAAGGATGGGAGGGGTGGTCGTTAGTAACAAAGGCATTGGGGACTTTGGTTGGTGAGGAGCAGAGAGACATGCAAAGCCTCTGAGGTCTTTCCCTGATGCAGCAAAGACCCAACCATTGCCCACTAAGATCGTGAAGGTGAAAAGCAGAACAGTGGGGAAGGATGTGGGTTGTTCATACAAATTGGTGGCAAAAGTTCTTGCAAACAGACGAGGTTGGTGGTTGGAAAAAGTTACTTCAGAGCCATAAAATGCCTTTGGTGGCTGATGGGCAAATCTTGGATGCAGTTTTCATAGTAAATAAGGCGATTGACTCTCATATTTGCAATGGTGTTCTAGGGGTTATTTGTAAGCTCCACATAGAAAAGGTGTATAACCAATTGGGATTTCTTACAAGCTGAGGACAACGAGTTCTGGTAAAAAGTGGAGATCTTGGGTTTGATAAATCCAATTCTCAGTAGTGGTAAATGGTTCTCCTCAAAGGTTCTTCCGTAACTCAAAAGGCTTGGGATGATTTTGTGGGTCATATCATATTGAGGGTTGGAAATGGATAAGGGTGACAGTATAGAAACATAGATGGTGTGGGGGAGCAGACCCTTAAGAGATCATTCCTAACTATTTTTTGTTTGGTTAGGAATAAGGACACTATTGTCGTGGAGAATGCGTACGGGGGTCACAATCATACGTTATGCAACGTTCCTTTTGTGGAGAAGAGCAAAATTGGGAGGTGGATGAGCTTTTGGCCTTATTTCCGATTCTATACAAGTTACCAAGTCTTGGCAGGAACCAAGTTGCGCTCTGTTAGGCTCCCTCATCGAGGTGTGTTTGAGGTGAAGTCCTTTGATGAAGTTTTGTTAGAAGACAATGGAGCCCCAACGGAGGCCCCCTTCAAAGGTGGCCCGTTTTGTTTGGAATGCAGCTCACAAGAAAATCTTTACCATAGACAACCTAAAAGGATAGCGCATATCAATGTAAACTAGTGTTGCATGTGCAAGTGTGATGATGAAAGTGACCAAAATCTTCTTCTACATTGTAGCGATGGGATGAAGTTGTGGGGCTTGGGGCTTTTTTTGTTTGAAATGTCATGGGCTTTCCCAGGAGGAGTAGCGAACATTTGCACGCTTGGATGGGTGGCAGGATGGGAAAAAGGAAGAGGAAGGCATTGCTTTATGTGGATTATTTGGGGAGAAAATAAAAAAAGAACTTTTTGTGGGTATGAGAACCCTATGTATAGATTTAAAATTTGTTTTGTTTAGTTGGATATCACCTTACCTGTTCTAACCACCTCAGCCACTTCATTCAAGAATCCAGTTTCCTTGTAGCCTCTCCTTTCCAAGCCATCCTGCAAGAATAGATTAATTATCAATTGTAAAATCAACATTATAATGATTGGAAACATTGACAACAGTAACAACAATAAGTTTTTAACTTGCCTTCGCGAACTTTACAACATCTTCGGCTACATGCTTCAGCAATCCATCACGAAATGGTGTCTTTAGACCACATATAGGTACCTATCAAATACTTTTCAGAATTAGATTTCCATCTTGATTGCTAAAAAGAAACTGTCTGTATTTTAATATGATAGAACATAAGTTCAAGGATGCAAGTCATCTTGTAATTCAGTAGGCACATATCATTTAACACACTGGACTTATTGAACCAATGTATACGGTAACCAAAAAGGCTTATGTGTCACCTATAAATACAATGTCATCGACAACAGTTTCAAATTAAAAATCCATTAACAAAACATTTAGCAATAAAAATGTCAAATATCTTAATGTTGAACGCTAATTGTGAGGGATGTTCGTCCCTAAGTTTGATAACACCATAAAGCACTTAAAATTGAAAACATTCAATGGTTTCACATTTAACTGCATTTGATAACACAATCACCTACCACTTAAATATGAAAGTTGACTCAAAGGGGGTCTTACTTTAAGTCAAAGAAACTTGACTTATCAACAAATGCTTGTGAAAGTTAGTTTTCATTTTCATTCTCAACTAACACGTTTATCTAAAATTTTTCAAATTTAATAATTCAGTACTGAAATGTTTTAGAGCTAGAATTTTAGTGCCAGAAATTTAAATTACTTAATTTTCAGTTGTCAAATAGGCATATTGAGAGTACATAAAGCAAGAACCATAGGCATGATGTGTTTTTCTCCCAATCATTCTGACCACAACACCATTTTCTATTTTACCATAGTTTAGAATGCAAATTATGAATAAAAAGATGCAGATCATGGCTGCATCTCCCTTTGCTTGTTTTGAATGTGTATATTACCTTATTTCTCAACATCTGTCTTTCTTCTGCGGTCCAATCAGCTACTATATCTAGAACATTTTGTAGAGAAATGTCATCATATAATATACCCACCTGAAATTTAAATAGCCACATTACGAGTAGCTATAGCTGAACGAAGAAGTTAATTATTTTATCAACGCAAACCAAACAACAAAGTTGTCAAGTGTCAGATGGGGTCATGCTCCACAAAAGTAAGATGACAACAAAAGGAACCCTAAAAAAGGTAAAGTCCTCAAAAATGTGTTTCATGTTTTTCCTTTTTTTACGTAGTCAATAAAAAATTCTCTCAAAAATTAATAGGCGCACACAGCAAAAGGAATATTTATATATAAAATAAAAAAAAAATTAATATAAACTAAATAGTTATATCAGCATTGGCAAACTAATGTAGAATACATATCCAATGAGCGTATGATACATTTTAAACTACATAATATCCAGATTCATTTATGCATCTGAAAATTATATGGTATTATAACAATCCTCACGAAAGCATTGCTTATTCTCCCTGGATGAGTGCAAAAAAGTTCTGCACAAATTAGTTGACTACACATACAGATCTGAGAGGTGAAATACCCAAAATGCAGGCAATGCACATAACCTCCTCCAAGGGCCCCCGTCAGCTCCCCTCATCTCCAAATATCTCTTCAACCTGACCTGAACGAAATAAATGGCATCTAGCTTTTAGCGAGCAATTGTAACAAATATGAAAATTTCTTTTGAAGTTAATCTCCATTGCACTCAACAAACCTCAGGAAATATTGTAGTCAGATGATTCTCCCAATCATTGAGGGTTGGCAATTCACCCGGAATAGGAGCAAGTTTTCCTGCCATGAAGTCCTGAAAAATATGATTTGAGAAGCATTACATATTAAAATAAAAAATAAAAATTAGAAGTACAAGACAAAAATTCATGGTTGAAGAAAATGAAGCAAGAGTTCACATGGCTGTAAATGAAAGCCTAAAAACAGCAAAGAAACCAATAGGGATAGATGGAAACCCGGAATGACAATCCAGAGCAATCAATATACTTCTTTTTCCGATAGACGAAATACATTGGGACATCAAGTGCATAATCTACATATTGTTCAAACCTGTGCCCAGAAAACATAAGGGAAGGTCATTTCTATCTTTAATTAAAGTACAAGATTGGAAAGAAAATCTATCCAACAGCCTCCAAATTATGCTGCTTAAGAAATCAAAAGAAGTTATATTACTGGTGCAAACTTAATCTTTCGCAACCATGCAGTAGATATATATATATATATATATTAATTAATTTTTACATTATTTACAATAACAAAATTATTTCCTAGCTAAAATGCTCTAAACTATATATATATAGAGAGAGAGAGAAGTTTCACCAATTTATTTTATGCAGAGCACATCTAGATATATTGTTACTTTGTCATCCCAATTTCAGAAAACATTTTCCAAGGCAGGTCAGAAGATATTAACATATGCTATTCTTTGTTTTTGTTCTATCTAACAAAAATGTATAACTTACCCAAAAGAGTCATCAAAGACAAAGGGAAGCATGCCAGCACGATTGTTATCCGTATCAGTCCATATTTGGCTGATGAAACATATGAGAATTAATACATTAATATCCAACTGAAATAGTATAGAATTATGAAATGTGGCAAGTAGATGGTAAGTTATAGAAACCTTCTCATACTAAGATAACCATTTGGCTTTCCTTCAGTGAAAGGCGAATTGGCAAACAAGGCTGTGGCGATCTGTTTCAATTACTATGCTCATCAGATTCCAGAGAACCAAAGAAACTCCAGTAAGAAAAAACAAAGAGCAAGTTTTCATACAGGCTGCAAAGCAAGACCAGCACGAAATTTCCTGATCATGTCCACTTCAGAGCTGAAGTCCAAATTGACCTTTAAAAGCCAGAAATGTATCCAAAGTTTCCCATTCAGAACACAACTTATAGACTTGGAAGACAAAAAAAATGCTTAGTGACTTCATGAGTCTTGATTTGAGATGACTGGAACACCAAAAATGTAAAGTATCTCACACCTGAACAGTGCATGTCCGAAACATCATGTCAAGTCCGAGAGTGCCAACTTTGGGCATGTAATTCCTCATAATCTCATATCTTCCCTGAGCCAAAATACTGTGTCAGTACACGGATAGTTGATCTTGTATTCATATATCGATGTGTGTGGATAATTCTCATACAACACATATAATATATTTTCTTATCAATTTTTTTTAAAATAATTCTTTTTCTCTGTCTCTCATGTATCACAAACAATGTAACACCATGTTAGTTTCTGATACCAACAATTGATGCTGGGTTGGGACTGGTGATCTTATGCTTGCATGGCACAAATACAACATAACTATTTCGATTTAGCCATAAGTCTCTCTTCTTTTTTATCTTTTTTTTGGGTATAGCTCAATCAACCTAAGGCCACATTCTCCAATTTTTCTGATTATTTTATTACCTTGGGCATTATAGGTATGTCTTTGAGGCCCCATTTGGGCTGGAAACCAATTCCTAAGAATCCAATTCCCATTTCCTCTGCAACAGCTTTGACCTGATCATCAATATCATGCAAAGATAATTTCTAACTTCAGCAGTCATATACATCCAACTGATTGAAAACAAGTGCAACAGAGCAGGAGAAGAACCCCACCCCCACCCCCCCAAAAAAATATATATGTTTAATCAGCTTGTTTGGTTTCATAACTGAGGATTTATTTTTCAAAAAATTAAATTTTTTTGTTTTTCGTGTTTTTTTGTTTTTCGTGTTTTTTTGTTGTTATTGAATTTTTTTAATATTTCAAATAATTTTTTAAATTTTTAAATACACCTAATATAAATACACTTTAAAAATATAATATTTGTGAAAAAAATATTTAAAAAATTCACCAAGTACCAAAAATATTTATAAAAAAAAAACAAAACAAAACAAAACAAAAATTCAGTACATTTTTCGTATTCTTGTGTATCTAGTGATTTTTTAAAATATTTTTTTACAAATATTTCCCTTTTTAAATACATTTAAGTAATGTGCATATAAAAAAGTAAAACAATTGCTTAAAATTTTAAAAATATTCACTAAAAACAAACAACAACAAAAAAAACACAAAAAACTCTATTTCCAGAAAATTGAAACCAAACACAATGAATAGTATCTTGGACAAGAACAATAAAACTCAAAGGTCAGCCTGAAAAGAATATTAGACAAAGCAAGTAGAAAAACAAACTACCAAGCACCAAAAAAACTTAGAAAATGAATTAACTTGTTCATGAAAAGCTCGAGTTTGGCTTGTTTAAAGCTCATTTGAGCTTATAGCTCATTTGCTAAATGAACGAGGTGGAGTCAAAATGTTAGGCTCATTTAGCAATCAAGCGAAGCTCAAGGAGAACCAAACTCGGCTCAAATAGGCTCATAAATACAAATATATATATATATATATATATATTGTTGTTGATGTTTGGCGTTTCTGCAAATTTACATATTTGATCCATGAAACTTATTAATAACATGAACATTGTTTTAATGTTTCTCATAATCTAATCTCTCTTTTTTTCCCTTAATGTGCAAATTAATTTATGTTTGATTTTTCTTTTCAAGCTCAAACTCTGCTTGTATATGTAATTGAGTTGACTTGAGCCGACCTCAAGTTTTTCAAGCACTAGGCAAGCTGAGCTTGGGCTCGATTCTTTGAGCTCAACTCAAGCTCGACCTCGACTAATAGAACACTCCAAAACTTGGCTCGACTTGTTTGCAGCCCCCAAAGCAGGTAAGCTAAATGAGTCATACAAAACTGGAACAAGAACCTTGATGGGTTAGGTTTAAATCTGGGTTGTGCATGCTGGCAAGTATCTAAATTCCTTTTTAGTTGTAACTGATTCAAAATCTATGACTAAAGTAATCAATTGTACTTTGCCAGCCATATGTACTACAGGTCATAAGCCATGCTCAACTGGTGGTAATGGGGTAGGAAACTAATCTGTAGCACAAACAACTAGCTCTGATTTGGAGGATACCATTAACCTGGTCCAAGTCACCAAGCTCGAACAATTCATCACATCTTGCTTATATATAATGAGTACATCTTCCTAAAATTCCCCCCACAACTTATGATTTTATACATGTCTTCAAGCATGTGTTCTTCCTTCAACTTCCTTCAACTCACATGTGATCCTCAAATATGATAAGTTTGGCCTTCCACAACATCATGTGTGATTCATGATACCATCTAGCATAGCTAATAGTTCTTGGTCATCATAACAGAGACTTGAGATCAAATCCCACCTTCGTCAGAACCACATAAAAACTAAAAGCCATGATATATGGTTTGAGAATCACATACATTCATTTTCTCACAAATCATAATTGAAGAATTCCTAACATATTATATATCAACCACATGTCTTCATCCATATGCTAAAGTTATAGTTTCAGACAAACCTGATAAAGATGTGAATTAACCTCAGCACAAGTTTGATGTAAAGTTTCAAGAGGTGCACCACTAAGCTCAAATTGGCCTCCTGGTTCCAATGATATGCTTTGCTTTCCCTGCATGATAGTAATGTGAAGTCTGTGAAGTTGCTCTCCAGAAATACACCAAAACCAAAAGGTAAAACTTGCTGCATGTCACTTTTATGAAAAAAAATTCAGAAAGAACAAGAATGCAATTTTTTTTATTGCTTTGAACCAAAAAAATAGAGCATCATCGTCCATAAAGAAGTAATACATGAACCAGAAAACGGTTAGGGTGTGTTTGGTAACGTTTACGTTTTCAGTTTATATTTACAAAAATTTTATAAACTGGTTTTTGTTTAATTTTTGTTTATTTTTAGAAAAACATAAACAAAAAAACTCAAAACTCAAAATGGAAACACATTTTTTGTGTTTTCATTTTTTGGCCCAATTTATAAACTGAGACCACTGATTTATAAATCAAAAATTTTATCAAACAAGTTTTTATTTGAGTTTTTTAAATTTTTGTAAATATAAACAGAAAACTGAAAACGTAAGTGTTACCAAACGACACCTTAAAAACTTTCCAAAGTGTTTAGATAAGAATTTTTTTTTTTTATTGGAAAAACAAAATACAATAGTGTCCACCTGTTTGAGTCCAATAATGTTGTCACCCTCCATTATTTTATCCCAGTCAAATCTCTCAGCAATACCATTGAGCAACTCTGCTATCTGTTCATACTTCATGGGCCTTAAAGTTTCACTCTCAAAGCCAAACTTTTCATGTTCTGTACCTATTCTGCAGAATCCACATGATGAAGTTCACAATTCAGAACAAGATAGAGAAAAAGATTCAATTATCAGTAGTAACTGGATTCTAAAATTAATTGGTGACACCAGAAAATGGAATTGGAATCTGCAAACAGGTCCAGAACAAACATTAATTGATGTGGACAATGGAATTCAATGTTTAGTCCATTGCAACATTGGAGCTTCATGTCCAGGCAACCAAAATACCTCCTAGGTTCATTTCATTTTTATTAAAATTAATAGCCAACCATGTGATCTGGTAAGTTAGAAGTTAATCAAAAAAAAAATATAACATAAAACATAAAAACATCAAAGTATCTTTGAGTACAATATACAACAAGAGACGCCACTCGAATCTAAGTACCAATGAGAGCTAGAAGTTGAACCTCCATTTCTCCTTAGGTTTGCACCCAGAAGCAAGGTATGCTACAAGATCCTCTTTTGTCAATGGCTCTGTAGCAATCAAAGCATCCTCTGTAGGGGGGCTTGCATTGACAATTGCCCGGTGTCTTTGTTTGTACGATACTTTTGCACTGTCTAAATGCAAACCATGCATTGTCTTTGTATAATTCGATGATAAGGATGGAAAACTTGTGCAAGTTTCCTTAACTTTGGATGCCTCGAAACCGCTCCCTATGTTGAAAACAAGACTGTAGCCCACTTTAGATCTTATGTTCTCAAAATGAATGCAGTGTGATGGACCCACCTGGGACAGAAGCGCCATGTTGTGCCCCTGCAAAATCATACACAATCTCTCTGTCAACAACTCATTAAGCCAAAACTATCCACAATTAGTTCACCAACAAGAAGTACATTCAAATTCATTTTCAGCAAACCATGATAAACACTAATGCTCTATTTGGTTCAATAGAATGAGATGGAATGATCATTCTCTTCCAATGGTAAATGATGATTCCATTTATAATGTATTTTTCATTAATTGTTTTTCAATCAACCAAACATGGGGATGAATATTTTGATGGAATCATCATTCCATTCCACAACATTCCAGTCAACCAAACGCTACCTAATAGAACTAGGCAGTGAAATCATTCAATTGAATTTGGTTTAACAGTTATTCACATCACAAAGACAAACTAAACCCATTAACCCAATTTACAACCATCAAATAACATGGGCAAATTATATTGGTGGTCCCTACATTTTATCTCTTCTGTCATTTTAGTCCTTTACACTTTCAATGGACTCAATTTTAACTCTTAATCTTAGATTTTTGTGTCAATTTGGTCTAATTAATAATGTCGTTAAGTGTTTTTTGATAGGAAATATTACAAATGCCACCTATGTATGTATTTTTCATAATAACTATTAAGAGTTGTAATCAATTTGACCAAATTGAGTCGATTGAAATTACATGGACCAAAATGACATAAAGACTAAAGTACATGCACTACCATCGTAATTTTCCCAAATAAAATTAAAATGGCAATGTGAAGTTCACGAGTTAGTCAAAGAACTTAAATTCTAGCAATAAGAATTCAGTGGTGCTACACACCAATTGGTATACCAAATAATATATCAACATATGATATAACATTACCACTTCAAAACTATAAACCCCACCCATTATACAAACTGCAAAGCCTCAAAACCTCTAATATCATACGACATCATCCTCCTTACACTAATTGGTATACCAATGGATTGCGTATAACTTTATTCATAAGAATTTCTCAAAAAACACAATATTCATTATTCACCTGAATCAACTGAACCAATAGAACTGAACTAGCTACTGTATAACTAGATCTGTCACTAGTCCCTAATTGTGCTAATATCATCAAGAATCGTACATAAAAACAATATCAGTATCAAATCAATATGCACATATATAACAGAAATCAAAGTGATTACCTGTATGGAATTCTAGGGTTTCAATATGCACATATATAACAGAAATCAAAGTGATTACCTGTATGGAATTCTAGGGTTTGGTGCGCATCGATTGTGCTTATCTTCTACCCTCTGAATCAAACAGATATATATATATATAGAGAGAGAGAGAGAGAGAGAGAGAGAGCGCTTTAAGCTGTCAAGTGAGGGACGGGAATTCCTCTACGCCCCGTTTGCTTGGGTTACCCACAAGAGTTTGTTTGTTTAGACGGACTGGATAAGGGGATTGTAATCTATCGGACTGTTAGTAAAGAGATACATTGTCTCGTGATTATTTAGTTGGATTAGATTTGTATCTTATGTTTGTTTAATCATAGGAATAGATGTTTGGATTTGATTATTTTTAGTAAATCTAATGTTTGGTTAGACAGACTGGATAAGGATAACTGTTCAAAAGACTATTTTACCCTTATAATCTATAATTTATAATTTAACAACACTAAAAAAAATTAATTTATAAGGCCACAATTTTTAATTTATTATTTTCAATTAAATTAAATTTATATTTTATATTTTATATTTTTATTTAATATATAATTTTAAATAACGACAATAAAAAAATAATTTTATTTAATATATAAATTAAATTTTCAACAGCACTAAAAAAATTTAATTTATAAGGTCATAATTTATAATTTATTATTTTTAAATTAACAACACTAAAAAAATAATTTATAAATGTTCAAAAGACTATTTTACTCTTTTCTAATTGTTCACTAAGTAATAGCATGGAAGGTAAAATGGATATTTTACAAAATAATCTCATGGGATACCAATCCCATGGTTTCTATCCCACACCCCCCATGGGATAAGATAGTCCCATGTTTGTGACTATTAGTCCGGAGCAAAATTTTTCAAACAAACAATGGACTATTAGTCCGGTGAGACTAATAGTCCAATCACACCCTCTTATCCCTCAAAACAAACATGCTCCTAGAGGATTTGGGTTGAGTGTGAGGTGTGATTTATTATATGTCAGGTTTGTTACGAGGGATGGAGTGAAGATTTTTAATCTTTTAATATTAAGATAGATGGGGATTGAAATGAAGAAAGTGGAGGTAGTATTTGGTGTGTTTGGTTTAAGTTTTTTGGATTAAATTTTTTGAAAAATGAGTTTTTTATTTTTCGTATTTTTTTGTTTTTAGTGAATATTTTTAAAATTATAAACATTTTTTTAGTTTTTTAGATGCACCTTACTTAGATGTATCTAAAAAATAAAAAATTTGTGAAAAAAATATTTTAAAAAATGTACTGAATTCTCATATTTTTTTATATTTTTAGTATTTAGTGAATTTTTAAAAGATTTTTTCTTAGTGAATTTTTAAAAGGTTTTTTCACAAATTTTTTACTTTTTAAGTATATTTATGTTAGGTATATCTAAAAATAAAAAAAATTGCTTAAAATATTAAAAAAATTCATTAAAAACAAAAAAGCACAGAAAATAAGAAGGTATAATTTTTTGAAAACTGTTTTCAGAAAAACGAAACTAAACAAGCTTTAAAATTTTAGTTTGTCAGACTTTTTTTTTAATTTTTTATATATTGGGTATTTTTTTAACATTAATATTTAATTTTTTATATTTTTTATTAAGTAAAAATATTTGTTTTATTTTTTCTGTAATTTTTTTTATTTTTTATATATTGGATATTTTTTTAAATATTAATATTTAATATTTTTTTTATTTATTTCATTATTTTATATTTATTTTATATAAAAATAATTTAACAATTTCTACACCAATAACTATCATCATAATAAATATAATTTTATTAATTTCCTCACCATATATCCCTCGCTATAAATTTCCTATAAAATAATCGGGCTTAAAGTTTATAAGTGCGGCACTATGGTAACCTTTTCTCGCGTGTGGTACCCATTCCCAAGTTCCGACACGACAGCACGTGCGACGATTCCAGCAAAAGAAAATTGGACAAATTACATATACCTCTCGAGATTTAACAAAATTACAGATACTCCCTAAAGTTTAAAAAATTACAGACACCCCCTGAATGTCATATTTGCATAACAAATTATGAGGCAATTTGTTATAAAAATATAAATCTCAATGAGCAATTTGTTATAAAGATATAAACCTCAAGGAATATCTGTAATTTTCGAAACCTCAAAAAAATATTTATAATTTAACTAAACCTCAAGAGAAGTATATGTAATTTGCCCAAGAAAATTCTTGTCCCCGCCACCTCTCGTTATTTCTCTTCCTACCCAATATTTCTTTAACTTGACTTTTATGAAAAAAAAAAATAAATAAATAAATAATTTTACTAATGCTCTATTTGGTTGGGGATTTGAAGAGGGATTTGAAAAGAGAAATGGAAAAAGTAAGTGAATTGTGAATAAAACATGCCTATATTTTATCTAGTTTCACACACATTTTCCCTTTTTCTTTCTAAATCCCTCCTTAAATCCCGTAACCAAACACAGCATAAAGCCCTCTCAACTATTAGTGAATATCATAATATTGATTATCTCAATTATGAAAATCTTACAACAAGATCTATAGAGATTGAAAATAATATATTTTTATAATTGAAGATATCAAAACATAACGAATTTATAAATGAGAGAGCAAAGTGATATTTGCTAATAATTGATGAGGTCTTAGTGTAAATAACTTTTTAAAAATCAAAATTTTGAAGAAAAAAATCAAAACATCAAAAAAAAAAAATTTAAGTCAAAAAAAAAAATCAATACAAAAATAAGTTTTATATATATATATATATATATCAGTTATTATGTTTTTCTATAAAATTAACAAAAAATCATTGTTAACTAAATAGATTCAAATGATGCCTTAATTTGCTGGATAGGGACCCCAACATAAAGGTAACAAATTTAATTTGAAATCGCGAACTCCTTCATTTATATTTATTTAAAATGTATTTAAATTTATTCAAATGGATAATATATTATAAATTTAATTAAAATAAAATCTAAATGTTTGATGTGAATACCCATTTAAACTTTTAAAATGAATATTATCTTATTTATCATATAATCACTATTGTTATGCTACCGTTTCTATTCCACCACCCTTATCCCCAATAATAGTTGCCGCCCCTCTACTACATCAGCATCCTGCCACCATCAATGTGGTTGTTGTTGTCACTCCACCACCTCACCCAGACTCATCATAAAAAATTAATTTTACCAAAGACGTGTACGATTTGTATATATGGAGGCAAATTGTAACCAAAAATAAATAAAATAAAACATTTGTATGGGTTTGGACAAGAAAAGACTTGAATGATGAGGTATTTGATGACGCACCGGACGTCTAGCCCAATGGGATCATGAGGCTATTGCTATGCGGCTCACTCCCATTTTGAATATTTTTTTTTTATGATTCATCCTGTTTAATTTTTAATAAATAAATTTATTTACAAAAAATTAAGTTAATTAAATATTTATAATCTCTCTATTTAATACTTGCATATTAATTTATTTTATATATAAATATATTTTGATGAAGAGACTACTAATATTATGCCAACTTAATTTTTTATAAATAAATTTTAAATACTACTTCTTATAAAATAAATAATTCAAGATATCAAAATAAAATCAAAAGGGGTCCATAAGCTGCGAGTGAGGATCCTCTCCTTGCAATTTCGGTACTTGTGTCCGTCCTTGCAGGCCTTCGGGTCTATTTTTAGGCCCAATTTTGATAATCCGAACCGTTCATATTTTATAATTTATTCAGTATATCATACCTGTAAAAAATCAAGTTGATCGGATATCAGAAAGTATATGTTCGGAAAACTGTTTATTAAATTCTTTAAAAAATAGTATTTAGTTCAATTTTTCAAACACATACTTTCTGATATCCGATCAACTTGATTTTTTACAGGTATGATATACTGAATAAATCATAAAATATAAACGGTTCGGATTATCAAAATTGGGCCTAAAAGTAGACCCGAAAGCCTGCAAGGACGGACGCAAGGACAAGCTTGCAAGGAGAGACTCCTGACTCATAAGCTGCAGGACAATCACTGCTGTCCGAGCCAGCAGTGAGTCCAGATCCTCTCTTTGGAGGATTTCCACTTGGCTCCTTATTTGGCCTCCGTTTGGGAAGTGGGTTGGCTTTTTGGCTTTTTGATTTTTTTGGCTATTTTAGCCTGGGCTTAAAAGCTTGGTTTGAGAAGGACTTTTTGGCTTTTTGGCTGTTTTGAGTTTTTTTGTGAGAGAAGAATGTAATGATTATGGGTTGGATATGATGTTTTGTTTGTTATGGCTAAAATAGCCTATTTTGTTTTTTGTGGCTAAAATAACCAAAAAAGCCTGCAAACCCACTTGCCAAACACAGGCTTGGTAGGTCATTAGATTCAATTTTGATAATTTAAATTGTTTATATTTTAAAATTTGTCGAGTATATCATATTTGTAAAAAATTAAGATAATCAGATATCGAAAACCACGTGTTTGGATCATCGAACTAAAAATTATTTATTAAAAAAATTTAATAAACTATTTTATTTGTTAATAAAACAATTTTTAATTTGATGATCCATACACGTAATTTTTGATTTTTAATTTGATGATCCATACACGTAATTTTTGATATTTGATCAATTTAATTTTTTATAAATAAAATATTCTTAACAAATTTTAAAATAAAAACGATTTCAATCATTAAAATTGAATCTAAAAGTAAACTCAAATGCCAACCAAATACAGAGCCAAGTAGAAGTCCTCTAAGAGAGGATCCGGACTCGCCAGCAGTGATCCCGATATTGTAGATGGAATCCATTCAGATTAATCAAAAAAACAAAAAAAAAAAAAACAATTGATCAACATTAAATAAAATCGAAAAACACTTGCTATAAAGCAAAAAGATAAAATAATAAAAAGTAATGTTAGGAATATAAATTGGTCATGAAATTTTTCTTACATTTTAATTATACATACAATAAAATAACACACTCTAATTAAAGGATGAAAAGTCTTTATGATGTATTTCATAATAATTTTTCATGATCCCTAATATTATTCAATAATAAAGACTCCAAGTAATAAATTAATTAATTAATAATTTTTTTTTTTAGGAAATTGACCAATAAATCTCATATTTTGGACTTGTAATCCACATAATTTCATATTTTTTCTTGTTATCCATTTAGTCTTTTTAGATATGTAATGACTCATTTGCCCGCCACATTGA